CAAGGGTACAAGTGAACTTTTCTAGAAATAGAATGTAAATGTTTTGACACAATGACTATGCAAATTACATGAAATCTATGTGAACCAGCTTGATGAAAGTGTTTCAAAATGTATGTGAAAACACTACACTGTACCCCCTGTTTGCATTAATGTATAGAGCTATCATTTAATAAAGAAAGAAAGAAAGAAAGAAAGAAAGAAAGAAAGAAAGAAAGAAAGAAAGAAAGAAAGAAAAAAAAATAAAAGTAAAAGATAATTTCAAAAAAACAGAAAAAAAAAAAGAATACCTAATTTATATCATCGTAGATAGCAAAGTCTTCTAAGTGGTCATTTATCTTTTGGCTTTTAGTCTTCATTACCTCACTATACATGATTATCAGAATCATACAAAAGCAGGAAGTTTATCAAAATATAATTTTCATTTCTTAAAATGTGAAATTTACAAACCCTAACATTGAAAATAAGGCTCTTCACAATTTCAGCTTCCCTTTCTATTTTCAGAATTATTTTCTAATGTTTATAATTCATTCTAGCAAAATCAAACGCTTTTCTAGTCTGTTCATACAAACTTCTAACTTTTATTTAAATTCTTTGCCAATGCTATGTCTCCTGCTTTCTCAAACTAGTCAATTTTCTTTACCTTTTCCAAATTCTACTTACCTATTCAGATTTATCGTTAGATCAATGTCTTTTGGGAAGCACTCAAATTCTCTCTATAAAATACTTCTCTTCTGAAATCCTGAATTCCTTTCTTTGTAATAGTGTGGCAATTTGCACAGGGACGTGTTACACTAAGCATGCATGTGTCCTAAAATGGAAAAGAACCTCTTAATGAGCCAAGATATTTCACTTTAATATCTGTCTTATTATCCCCAACAGAAAGGCCTATTTATGAACAGAGTATACACCAAATAAATATTTTGAATAAACAAATGCATTTATTCATTCTAGAAAATTATTTTCTTCCTATTTTTCTTCTTCTAAATATTGAAAGGTATGCTTATAGCATATATTAAACATACAGCAATATACTGTACATATAAAAAAATCTCACTAAAAAAGCTAAATATCTATTTCAAGACACATACTATTCCCTCACTGCATGCCCTGCCCTCTATTATGTAGTCAAAAAATTTCAATGTCCTTAATAACTATATTAGACCAGTTTTAAAAATATAATGCTGTGAAATATACCATCCCAGAAATGTTAGGAGGGTTTTTTTTTTAAGGTAAATGCTATATCTCCAAGATTTTCTTCATGTCTGTATATATTTAATTCAACCCAATTCCATTCATTTACTTATCCCATCATTATTTGCTACACCCTACATTTTTAACTATAAATTTCAATATATATGTAGTCCCTTTAACTTACTTATTCTTTTTGAGAAAACAGAATGATTCAGAATCAGGGGAACAAGGATACATACCATATATATATATATACACACACATATGTAAAAACATAAATGATCTTCCTCGGTAACAAGTATGCATCCATATGAAAAAAACTCATACTTTCAGTACAAATAAACAAATGGTATAACTAGAACCCACTTAAGAAAGCTCAGAGGAAAAAGGAAATTCCCCCTAATACAGGAAAACTTCCCTTTCTTGGTTTTCTATGTATTTCTACACTTCCATCTTCCTGAATGCATATTCTTCAGGAGCTGTAAAAATATTGTTCATCTCAAATTGAAATCTCTTAAAAAATATTAAGAGTCATTTTAATGTTTCATTCAGAAGTAAAAATGCTTAGTAGAAGGTAGGCATAAAAGCTAGGTGAATTATTGACTGAAGTGGCTGAGGAAGGCTGACATGAGCAACTGAAAGAAATAATTGTTAAGTTTTCTCTATATAGAGAATTTGTAGTATATGTAGATGTGGGAAGAAAGACTATGTAGACCTCCTTATTTCCTTACCTCTGAAAATTTTGTCCCTTCTCACTTCCAATTATTTTAATAAGCTAAGTCAATGATACTTTAAATGAGTTTTCCAGAGTCCTACATTTCTGAAAATTGATCTCTGAATTCAAGACAAAGTTTGAAGTGCAAGTGCTATTTCTAGTGTCAGAAAACACTGAAGTTTGTTTCTGTAGCAGGAAATGATATCAGGCCCTGACTGGGACCTGGGGAGCCCCATATCCCTAGTAGGGCAATTAGTGCCTAACATACAATTGACCAAGAGCAAAGGTCTCTTAGGGAAATTGCATGAAAAGAACTACTTCTGAACACATAGATCTTCAATATAAAAGGCTTTCAGTCCACCAACTTACATGCTAAATGAAATATTGAAAAAGTGAAAATAAAGTTTTTACTCTCAGCAAGGCATACATATACAGGCACAGTTTCCAAGGAATTATGATGATTACTTTATGTTTGAAATACTCACTATATAATTAGGACCTCACAAACTGTATACACAACCTCATAATGACCTCATAAACCAGGCACATGTATAAGTATCACAAATTGAAGTATATCAACGGGATAGGTTTTTATTACATATAAGGGTTTATTACACATAAGGGTTTTATTACAGGAAGATTACGACAGAATATTTGGTAGTAACATTATTTCCCAAAATTTTCAAAAATTTCTTTGGTCAAATAAGTTTGAGGTAGTCAACATATATTTCTTAGATATTCATTGGTATAGTAAGTACTGTGCCTGTTTATGTTAAATTTCTTCTAGAATATACAGAAATCATTTGACCACAATCATTTTATAGACTAATGTTGCTGAAAACCTTGTATAAATAGAATGGAGGAATGAGTTTTGAGAGACTGTCATAGAAACATGCATTTAAGAATAGAAAGGGTAGGGGTTGTGAAAAAAAGGCAGACCAGATGCATTCTGCCAATACACCATTCTCCCCAAAAGCAGGAAAAGACACTAGCAAGCTGCCTCCATTTGGATTGCTCCTCTCAGAAACAGCATTGTGAAAATACAGAGAAGCAACATGGGATATCTGGAGTGGAAAATAAAACCAAAGAAATAGGTCATGGAGAATTATATAAAATGAAATCAGAGATAGC